AAGTGTCCCTGTATGGTAGGTGTTTCTGATAACATGGCAATAAGTGTAGCTAACAAGGAACAGAGACTCTGTGTTCGACTGCTTCTGCCTGCAGGACACCCTGATGTCATTTTGAAAGTGGATCTGAAAGAGTGAATTAATAGAAAAACTGAAATTCAGATGTTCAACTGTGTCATCGATGGCAAAATTCAGTTTTTGATTTCATATTGTTCTTATACAATTCAAAAATTCAATTTCAGTTCAAAATTCAATTTCAGATGATACAGATTCAAAATAATATTCAGATTTTTAAAATTTACATTCAATTTATTCTCATGGCATGAATTTAACTCTATAACAGGTTGTCCATATAGGCTATATCGTCCAACCGATATGTGGGTTGAGTTTTAATGAAAGACTTTTTTTTTCTTCATCTGCAAAAACAACAAACTAGCAAAATCCTTACAAACACAAAAGAGAGGACCTCAAAATGTTAAAGGGCTAAAAATCCACATAACTCATAACATCAGCCAACATCACCTTTAAATAGACAGTTTATATTTTTAATATCATATTCTAATAAAGTTAGTAAACAGTGCTTTCACTGACTGTTAGACTTTTAAACTCGACTAAACAGCAGAAACTCACCATCATAATAGAACCCACAATAACAGTGGTTTTGATTTTTGCTAATTACAGCTTATTTTTCTTAATTTTCATTAGTTCTACCAAAAAAGTTAGAAATTACCTGCGCATTATTGACAAACAATGGATCATCAATATCAGATATTACTAGCCAACCAATATATCGGTCAAGCTCTAATGAAAATGACATAACTAACAATTAAGGACGGGCACTTTTGTCAGGATCATGTCGTATCAGCAGATGTTTGTTTAATAAATACTAGCATTAGACAGATTTTAAATTTGACTGATATTTGATTATATATTTCATTTCGTTTTAGCAGACCGTGTTAAAATATCTGCATTTTGTTTCATTTTACAGCACAAATTAAAGTGAAATTTCTCTATGATGCTGATCCAGGTGGACCTGAAATTCTACAGTTTATAAATGTTAATGCATCAGCAGATTATGTGCATGAAAAGTATTGGATATCACTCCAGACTTAAATATGTTAATACATCAGAAGATTATGGGCCTGAAAAATATGGAATATCTCTCCAGACTTGCGGATGCCTCTCCAGAGCGATGAACGTGTGCACAAAATCGATCCTGATGTGTGCAGCTCGCTACAAGATTCAACATAAAGAGCAACAGATTCAATCATCTGGCATGTTTTCAAAGCTTTTTCGTCCTTTTTCTTCCACACATTAAGTTATTTTCCCACCTTCTGCGCTGAAAATGCACAACGTCTCTTTATTTGTTTTCTCCTGAAAGCGAACATTTTCATACACAACACAAATTTCCAGCAGTTTCCACAGAGTGTTAAAGCGAGAGAGGAGAAAAAAAAGCCTTCGCTTCTTTAAACGGACAGATTATCTCCATGTGATTACAACTAACACCCCCCCCACCATTGCTGCCTAGCAACACACAATTAAGGATCACGCGTGGCAGGAGGAGAGCGGCGGTCCGCCATTACTCGGATGGAAATTACAAGAGCAACAAATGTCAGCAACATGCAAATGAGATTGTTGTGCTGCAAGAATGTTTAACTTGAAGAGATGGAAAGGAAAGTGTGTACGGGTGGTGGGGGGGGGTGTTGGGGGAAGTGGGGAGGGGGGTGCAGGGGGAAGTGGGGCGGGTGGAGGAGGCGACCTTGGGTGCATTTGCGCATTTGTGTTCTGGGTAGCAATCTAAGAGTAAAAGCACACGAAACAAGGATGAATCCCACTTCGGTAAACAGGAGCAATAAAAGCAGAACGAAATAACAGTGAAAGACGAGAGACCGCAGTGGGTAAAGAACAGAGATAAAAGAACCAATATGGTCAGCGGGAGGTGGGGAGAACAGGAAAAGGAGAACGCAGGCAAGCTAAAGTAAACATTCAAGAACTGTCCTTCACATTATTTCCCTCGAGACTCGTTCACAAGGTACTCCACTGTTCAAAATCTCACTGTTCCCTTGTTTTCAACAGAATCAAACCAACTCTTTTCCAGAAACAGGTCTAAAAAGACTAATATGACACAATCGATTTCAGGTTTGTAGGAAGCTGCAAACAATTTAAGAAATTTTCGAAGATGAACGAAGCTGCAGATGATCCAGTAATAACTGAGAAAGCTGTATAGCGTAGAGGTTTAACTTTAACGTCCAAACAAACGTGTGTTTTTACCACTGGGAAGGGGTGTTCTTGGGCACGACGTGAGGCGGAGTGCCTAACGCTCCCTTCCCTGTGATAAAATCGCAGTAACACACGGCCTCTTGTGGCTTACTGCTTCTAGAAAACAGTGGCCAACATCAAATATGATAAAATACACGAATTCTCAGAAAATAATTTGTTATTATTAACAATAATCAACATAAACAAGTATTCCAACAAGAAATGCAGTTCCTTTAGAGTATGGTATCGTTGCCGAGCAACCATGGGCCGCCGGTCACTGTACACTGCAGTCATTTCATGAACTTTGTCATATAAAAGTGAACATATGATAACGCAGCACTGTTTAATACAAAAACCTTCACTTTATAAGTACTTTTTATTTGCCAAATTACCACCCCCAAGTCTTATTTAGCACCAATCCAGCCATGTTTTTAACCATTCAAAGCACCAGAGTTTGTTCCATTTCCCAGACTGTTCTTAATAAATAGTCATGCTCTCTTTAGAAAATCATCAGGAGTGAAGAAAAATAATGTTAAACAGATTTAAGTTGCAAATAACCCTGTTGTCGGAAGAAAACCTGGTATCTCCAAAATGACAACTTTACAAGAGAAGGAAAAAACCTACTTTACTTTCAATGTAAGTCAATGGAACCAGAGTTTTATCCTAGTCATTTTGGTCCATTTTTTTTGGTCCATTTATCATGAAATTTACACACAAAGTAAAAGGCAACAGACATTTTTAAATTATGTCAGAAACTGAAAAACAATAAAAATGGAGATATGAGGTTTTCTTCTGACAGCACGATAAACTGGTTGTTTATAAAGGCAGTAATGAAATTTATTATGGCGTAAAAGCAGCAAAACCATGTGCTCTTTTTCTGGCATGCTATAACGTCTCGTTGCTCCCAAAATACTTTAAATTGTGAACAAACCACCGTTTTATGTTTTGGTATGTAGTTTATAAGACTTCAATCCAAAACTTAGTATTTTATAGCACTTATTACTGCAAGAGAAACTTTTGAACAACTTTGCCCAAAACCCAACATCAAGAAACGAGACAACCAAACTCTCCAATAAACCAACAGACTTAAAACACACCACAGCAGCGGCACAATGCGCAGCACTGATCAATTATTGAAGCCTTCCCTTTGACAAAGAACACTGGCCTTCAACATGGCTTGTGCATGTATAATGCATGCGGAATAAGAAACGCTGTGATGTACGAGGGGATTAACCCAAAACTGCAATTTGGCCTCCAAAATTCTGTTAAAGGAAACTGGAACTGTGGTTGCAGGAGCTGAACTTCTACTTCACTTTGTTTTGACTGATCCTCACCATCGTTATAAATCAATTGGTACTAATTTTACAGACTAAATCAGCTTCACAGTACAAATACATGAAATTGTGAGTGGTTTCATTAACTCATTGAATGTTTTGTTGTCAGTTGTTCATCGTTCTGATGATGTATTGCCTAAGATAGCTCAAACATCTGTCTTATCTGCCTTTCCCAATAATCTCCAACAGATCCGCTGCAGTTCCTGAGACGTTCAGGTCTTAAAAAAGATGGTGTAGCCACGTGCCGGTGCCTAGAACAAGCGCCTTCTGCATCCTATTAGCTCTAATGGGATTTCAGGGTTTTAAGACTTGATTACGCCAGCAGAGGAGGAAAGTAGAGAGTGACAGTGTTCCAGTCAAATCCTAAAAAACACACACAAAACTACTGTAAAAACAAAGCTGTGCTTGCCGCTAATCCATAAATGTTTGGTTTCGCCAAGGACCATTAGAAGTAGAATTTTTTTCGTCAGAGCAATCAAAAGAAATCTGGTGCTTACAGCGCAAGAGTCACAAGCAGGCAAAGAGCTAAATAAACATGTGTTGCCAGTTACTTGAAGAAAAATAATGAACCACAATACTTGACTTATTTTTTTAAACAGCAGTACCCCAAAATATTATCTTACAACCCATCTTTTCTCCCGACACACAGCAATGTAGTGCACATCATTAGTTATAAATACCTCTAGTCAATGTGATTCATTAACATCTTGAAACGGTTCCACCATTAACAAAACATCAAATCATGTAAGATAGAACAGCATACGCTTGCCAGGGCTTTGAAGACGAGCCTAAGATGTTGCATCAGAACTGAAACGCGAACTATGAACGGGATCTTCTTGTTCTTATATTCTTATTCAAATGCAAATTAAACACACACACAGAGCGCTCTCTCTCGCTCACAAGCACACACAAGGAAACTCAAATATATATTCAGCTCATCGCTGAAGAGGGGCCTCCCAATTTCCATAATAAAATAGTAAGGCGAGCCCGCTCAAGCATTTCAGGAAGTTCAGCCGAGATCACAAAACCAGAATCCCGAGGGCACGTGGTTCAAACTCGCTGCACAGAGTGTATAAATAGTGTCAAAGTCTAAAAACAGAGCTCTTAGCCAAAGCTGCTTTGCACATCCAACATCAATGTTTGCCGTTAGCACGACTTTGGATATCACTTTTTAAAAAACAGGAAAACATTTGAAAAGCCTCCCACGTTTTACATGGAGAGCTCTATTTCATGTCAAAGGCATAATCCATGCGCGGCAAAACAGCAGGGAATACTTCAATGATAGACTATAAGCTGAATCTCGATCTAGTCCTAATACAGTGCCAAGAGGACCACACTCGAATCACAGAAGGACAAGCCAGAAGCTAGATAAGAGTGGAAAGCAGGGACAGATAAGAAGGGGTTGTTTACTTGTATCTGGTGAGGCCATGGTGGAAACAATGACCGGAGGACCAGTGCGTCGTGTCATCTTATTATTTGGGTTCATGGTCTGAGGCTGGAGAGACGTAGCCACAGGCATGACTGCGCTTTCCACCGGAACTGCGCCTTTCCGCAACAGCTGGGGGCTGTGGTGAGGGCTCTGGGTTGGAGGTAGATGAGGCAGACTGGGTGCTCTCTTCATCAGCTCCATGGGTGTGTAAGTGCCGGAGAAGGTTTTCGGTGCTGGACCAGGGGTGCCTGGAACCCCTGGTTGATGCTGCGAAGGGAGGGCCGACAATGCCAGACCAGTGTGGGCGTTGTACATGGTTAAAGGTCGCGTCTGAGGAATGGCAGTGTTGTATGCCCCAGGACTGACAGGAAGCCCACCAAGTGGGCGTACTCCTGGATAAGTAGTGGTTTCTAAGAGATGCTGAGAAGGAGCGCTGCTTGGTCGGCGGCCGAGAAACTCGCCCATCCTGGGAGAGACAGCCTGCAGGGCACTCGGGGGCTGCTGCATGAGGTTGGGATCCATGGTTATACCTTGAGGTTGGGCGTAGAGGTCATTGCGGTGGCTAAAGCTGTTGGAGCGACCACGCACTGCTGTAGCACCAGTGGCTCCGGTCTTGCAGTTGAGCACCACCCTGGACAACACCCTGGCCTGGCCTAGATTGGGAGCCACAGAGCGGATATCGTGGTCCTCCATCATGGCCAGCATACCGGTGGAGTCAAAACCTTGCTGCAGCAACAGGGTTATGGTGCTCTCGGAAAGACCCTCCGTACGAAGGAGAGACAGGTAAGCCGGGTCCACGGTCCTCTTCGGATCCACAGTAACAGCTGCCGAAGGGCTGGTGGGCCGGGATTCCAGCTGTGATTGGAGCTGGTGTGGCTGGCACCATAGCTGCACTAGCATCATAGGCAGGATCATAGGGCATTCTTGGAGTGGGAATGGTACCGTAGACAGACATACCTCGGGGTACGCTTCCGTCCACAGCAGGAGCCGTAGGATCCACCACTATGCAGGTGGAAAGAGGCTGGCAGGGGTCCAAGGGCAGGCCGTTGACGTCGCTGTAAACAGAAAGGCCTGCTAAAGAGGCCTGATCAGCTGCAAACCTTGCAACAGCGGGCTCGTTTCCGAAACAGGAAGGAGAGGCAGCCCTACTGCGAATACGCTGACCGTCTGGGATCATCTTGACCGCTAGTGAATCCCTATACAAACGGCTCATCTCATGAGCCGTGGGAGGGAGAGGTGGAGGGGGAGGAGGAGGAGGTGGAGGAGGTGGGGGCGGTGGAGCAGGGGCAGGTGTAGGTGCAGGAGCTGGAGCTCTAGCTTGCCCTTGATCCCAGGTGGATCTGACCCCTCCTGCAGACAGCCCATAATGCGAGCCTGATCTGTTAAGAAGGTGCTGGCTCCCTCTATAAAAGCCCTGCAGATCTTCAGGTGGCTGGGCAGATAAGGCAGTGTCAAAAGGGTAGTAATCAGGAGGTGGAACGGTGCCCCTAACAGCCATGGCTTGCCCAAGATAGTGGTCGCTCAAGTCTGGTTCAGGACTTACCCTCAGGGAAAGATCGCCATAACTCTCAGGGACACAGTCGCTGTAGAATTCGTCCGGGAAGGCGAAGGATACCTGTTGCTGCTCTGTTTCAGGATTCAGTAGGGAGCACGGAGGCAGGAGAGGATCGAACCAAAGTTCACCGTCGCTCCCAAAGGAGACAGAGTTCCTTCGCCCCGCAATGGTGACAGAGTAGTGTGGACAGGTACCCTCGTCCCACCACCCCTCAATCCATCCCGACCCGATCCTGCCAAGAGGACGACTACAACAGCACTATGCAGCTCAGGGACCGGACAGAAAACAAAAGAGGGTGTGAGGTGTGGAAAGAAAAAAAATAGCAGGGATTCTATTTCACCTCTCATGTTTCGCTTCAAAGAAGCAGGTGGAGAAAAAAGGGGGTGAAGCATAAGGGATCATTTCACCTGATCTCCAGCAGGCATTTTTTTTTACCCTCCCCTCAGGCAGCGCTATCATGTGGCCACATATTGGCAGGCAGTCCCTAAATTATTCAGCCCTGGAAACATAAGCATGCAAAGGGAGGGGAGGGTGGCAAAATGTGACAAGACAAAACACAGACGCAAGAACACAGCCCCATACACACACACACACACACACACACACACACACACACACACACACACACAAAAACACGCACCTTATGAGGCCTCTATTCCATAAAACTCTACATAGTAGGGACAGCCTCATACGGTTGTCGGATGTATGTTGTGAGGAACCTCCACGAGGGAGAATGAAGGGCCCGGAGGTGGGGTCATGCTAATCCAGTGGGGTTTATCCTTTCCTTCGGCGAGGCCATTTTACTAGCCCCTACCATTGCCCCAAGGGATTAGCCAAAATAAAACCTGCTTAATTCCACTGCCTCCTGTGACATCGCTTAAACCAAAGAGAGAGAAAGGGCGCAGAATGCCAGCACCCCGTGCTCTCTGTGGCCTACTCTGTTTACTATATACTCTACCTCAGAGGACTGACTGCAAGCTTGCAACCTATGCCACCTAGTGATTATGAAGTGTTTTAGAGCACCACTGGGAGGCAGTCAGGTCATGACATTCACAAGGAACAGTGCAAGCAAGTATCTAATCCAAGAGCAAGCAGGACAAACTGGCCATTCACGAGGCAACACCTTCATTTCCTCCTTTACTTGCTTGTTTTGCTCAAATTAAAAGACTTAACTGACTTGAGTATCGGACCGAAATCTTGCTTAGAGGCAATTTTATTAATGAAACACTACACAAAGTTCACGACCTGAAAAATCAACACATAAAA